ATTCCTACTCTCTCAGAGATCATATTCTAGTTGGAGTAAAACAAAGCAGATGATAAATAACTACATACTATGCAGGCAATGGTGTTAAGAATAAAGTAGACACTAGCCACATGTGCTTATTAGATAAAACTAAAAATACAGTTCCTCAGTTTTAGTACTCACATTTCAAGGGTTCAACAGTCACATATGGCTAGTGGCTACTATCCTGGAGAGTGCAAGTGCAGGACGCTTTCATTATCACAGAAAGTTTCTTGGACGGGGCTGGGATACAGCAATAGGGGAGGGATGTTATTTTACTTATTTATAAATATATTTTTATTGATTTCAGGGAGGGAGAGATAGAAACATCAATGATGAGAGAGAATCACTGATGAGCTGCCTCCTGCACACCCCTACTGGGAATCAAGCCCACAACTGGGGCATGTGCCCTGACTGGGAATCGAACCCATGATCTCCTGTTTCATAGATCAACGCTCAACCACTGAGCCTGCCAACCAGGTAAGGGATGCTACTTTAGCTGGAATGTTGAGGGAAAGCCTCTCCAACAAGGAGGTATTTGAACAGAGAACTGAATGAAGTGAGGGAGTGAGTCAAGTTGCTACCTGAAGAGCTTCCAAATGAAAGAAAAATCATTTATTAAGGTCCCCTTCAGCATTAAACTTTAGATTCAAAGTTCTTCAAAAAATGGTCTGAGCTTTAACCAGTTAACTGTCACGCATCCAAAATGAAAACCATCCCCACATGCCACGATATTTTGAATTTAATTTAAAAAATCAATTTGCAATGAATATTATAAAAATAAACATATTACAGTTCTGGTGTTCTTGAATATTTTCAGCTGAAAATTTTCAGGATAAATGATTTTAAAGTTGGTCAGGGCTGCCACTTAGAGAAAACATTTTTTTTTATAGACACACATGGCGTGTGGGGAAGGTCTGCCGCTTGCATATATAGACGCTTATGGCGTACAATGGGTTAGTTATTAGAATAAAGCACAGTACAAAAGAGAAACAGCAAAAGTTTCATTTTTGTTTTGCAGAAAGCAATACTTCATGTGTTGCCTACTCTCTATTTAAAAGCACTTATTAAAGACTCACAACATTAGAAACAAGGAATAGAATGTTTTCTCTTTAGTTCCTTTAAGCACAACTAAATATTATGAAATTCCTAAGCCATGATTCCTGGTAAAGCCCTTTCTTAAAAGCTAAATTCTTCCCTTCCCAAATCCACCGAATACCTCTCAATTTATTAGCGTCACTTACTCCCTACATTAGAAACTGAAAAGTTATTTTTTAGTGCTATTTCCGCATGTTAGATTAACCAGGTGAACTACCTTTCAGATAAAATGTTGCCCAGTGACTGCAAAATCTGTAGAGCAATAGAGAAATCTGAAGCAATGAGCCTATGTATTACCTTCCCCATCAGAGAGTACCATGCTCACCATTTCATATCTTAAATCCCAGGGCTCTCATGCATTCCTTGTGGGCCTCAATTAGGTGTCCACAGTGCTCTTCTCCTTTCTCAATAATGCTACAAAACAAAATGTACTTGTTATCTAACAAAGTAGCCATTAAGCATATTAGCAGTAAGTAAGCATGCATAATAGCGATGTGGAGTGAGGCAGAACATAGTCTGATGGAATGTAGCTGGAGTTCAAAAAAAATGTTCTGGTTGGTCTAATAATCCAATAGGCTTGAGACATTAGCAAGAGAAAATAATCAAATGTAATACATACAGAGGTATTGGGAACCCTGCATCCCTCAGAGCCAGAGACTCCACACGCAGGAGCCGTTGAGACAGAAAGGGAACATGGGTACGGAAGACATCCTGAGCTAGGGAGGAGGTAAGGTGCCTTGGGGGCTTTAAAAGGTCACTGCAGGATTTTAAAAGCAGATACTTAATACTTATAAGTTTGTCCTGGCCCATAAATAGGTCAAAAGAAGTTATTTCTGATCATCTCTTATAGGCAAGGCCCCTAATTCAAGTTCTTCTAGGCAGTTAAGGGGGAAGGGGAGTACGTGGGGGGAGGCAGATTCTCTTGAGGCCACAGCTAACATGGCCTTTGGCTCAAAACAATCTGCAAATCACAGAAGCATATCTTGGGGTGACTTGTTTTGAACGCCCCGTTTCAATTCTCCCTCCACAATATTATTTGCAAAGTACAACGGATTAACAAAAAGCATTAGGCTCCTACAGCTCTTACTGACCTCATTATGCCACTTGTATTTTCTTTGCCTTTATGTAAGGACAAAAAAGGGGCTTTAGGGAAGTGTACATTCACATCTGAAAATTCCTAATAAGATTTGTTCCACAGGAGAGGCTGCATAAAATGAAAACGAGCAAAAGCTTTTGGAGAATGATGGTAATCTAGAGGTACTCTCCAGAACACCACAATGTCTCCTAACAGTTATAAACTGACTTAAATGATGTACCTAAGGGGGGGGGGGGCAGCGGGGGAGAGGAGAGACGCTTTAGTACTGTTAAGAAATGTACCGTGTCCTATTATGTCTAAAATTTGGTAGGCATTACCAGAAAATTATTACTCTTTGGTTTTGCTCAATTTTTTATAATAGTCCATAGCAATTACTGGCATGTCTCCATTAACTTAAAGCTCCTTTAAATCAAGTAGCAAATTTACCCATTTCGACATCTTGCGACCAAAAACCCTTCCTGGGGGGAAATGAGTGAACGGAGATCGGGTCAATCGGACCTCTCTCCTAACCCTTCACCCGTGTCCCACCCGAGCTGCGAGCTCAGTCAACAGCACAGTCCACCGCGAAGCCTACGGGGCCCAAATAACTCCAAACAGCGCCGCTCCGCAAAGCGAGGGCCGGGACCCGCCCCAGGCGGTGCAGGGGGCAACGCCCCGGGCCGCGCACTGACCACGCATCGCGCGCCTTCTTGGTCTCCGGACAGGCGCAGCAGGGCTTCAGCGGTTTCTTCTCCTGCGTCTCAGAAGGGGCAGGGCTTGCGGCTGCCAGACCCGGCATCTTGCAAGATGAAAGCAGCTACTAAGTACAGGCACTCTCAACGCTCCCAACCTCCGCAAACGCCGATTCGCTCGCAGTCACTTCCGGCATCCGGTCCACAAAGACCGGAAGTCCTGCCTCTCTCAGACGGTTGGGCGCGGGAGACGGAGGATCAAAAGGACGCATGCGCAAAAGTGACTAAATGACGTCACCGAGATGCCTCTTTGGCGCAGGCGCAGAGAGGCGAGGTGAAAGGGCGCGCAGATTTTACAATTCACAAAGGTCGAGAATGAGGAAATCAGACGTCGCTCAAGCCCTCCACCTACCGCGAATGTCGAGAACTGAAGCCCTAGGAAGTGAAACGTCTTGTCCGCGATAAAGGAGAGAGCGCACTATTGAAAGCCGGCCCCCTTGGAGTTAGAGCTTAGTTCTCTGTATTTCAGGGTGGGCACTGCCTTCTTCCTGACCTCTCCCCTGTTTTCATTGACCTAGTTAAAGACGAGTGACAAAGACACTGAACAACGACATTCCATATTATCGAAAAAAATTTCCCTACCACCCATACCTCATCCCATACACTTTAAATCCGCAGTTAATTGCTGTCTATAGCTCCCTCCTACTAATTGGATTTCAGTATGAATTGTTCAATCAGGACAAGTACAGTATATTGCTTAATAAAATTGCAAAATGCCTTCCTTTGACATTTCTTGAATTCAGTTAGATAGATACGTAAACTGCTGTCCTATGTTATTTGCAATACAATGTGCACACCTATTGTGGTGTTTTTGGGTTTTTTTTTTACTGAGAATTATTGGGCAAAGGGACTGAACTAATTTTTAAAGCAGGACTTTGTGGCATTATTCAAATAACTACGTGACGATAGATACTTTGGGTAATCAAAATTTCAAAATCACCTAACCAAAGTTTGTTTCTGTAGTTCAGAGATTTAGTTCAGGGAACCCATAGGTGGTCAGGTGCTGAATGGAATTAGGTTCTATATTCATATTTTCCAAGTTACTAAAACTATTCGCATTTTGTCCTCTAAAAACTTCTAATAAGCATGATTTTTACTTCATTATGGGATTAGTATGTTTAATAATATAAAACATTGCTCTTATGTCCTCCTAAATGTACCCTTATCTACATTATCAGTTCTTTCAATGAGGTGTTCACTCCTGTTGTTTAGTATCTTGCCACTCAAATGGTGTTTCTTGAACTATCAACATCAACATCTCTTGGAAACATAATATACAATAACACAGTTCAACAAATCATTAGGGAAAAGAAAATTAATTGGAAAAAATTAAACACCACATCAAAAGGAGGGGCACTGGATGCGTTAAAGGTCCACATGTGAGAGGTGAAACTAAGAAATTGATAGATGATAGTGGAAGAGATGATCTTTACACACAGGAGGAAGGAACAACCTATTTGAAAAACACAAATTGCAAGTAAATAAATTGATAAAGTTCATTGCATCAAAATAAAAAAGGAAGCCATTACAGTGATTGGTCTAACCAAAATCTAAATCTGTAAATGCCTCCAGGTTACAAAATCAAACTCATTTCTCTGAAATTTGTTAAAGTGAAAGAATCCAGCATTTTTCCAGTCTTTCCTCTAAGATTCCTATATTTTAGGATGACCAATGAGTTGGTGAGAGAAGGTTCTTTTTATAAAAGAATCCCAGGTAATAAACAAAATGATTGAAAGTGTTAGAATCACTGTTCTAGGATGAAAGACTTAAGAGGCATACCAAAATGCAATGCGAAGACTTATCTTTTGATCAGAACAAACCAACCATTAAATGACATCTTGGACACAACCAGGGAAATTTGACTAGGAACTGAGTATTAGATGATATGACGGAATTATTAATTTTGTTAGATTGGTGGTTAAGTTTTTTTTTAAAAAATCCGTATCAGTTTGAGATGCAGATTAATTTAAGGGTAAAATAATGTCTGGGTTTTGTTTTTAAATACTCAAGCAAAAGAGGGGAGGGAATAGATGAAATGAGGTTGGCAAAATGTTGGTAATTGTTGATTCCTGGTGATAGGTACATGAGGGATCATTATTAAAAGTGGATTCACTTTTGCCTATGTTAAAAAAACTTCCCCTAACAAATAGTTTCAAAAAAGCAGAGGAAGTGCCTACATTACGTGATCTCTGTTGATTTAATGCCCAGGGGTCAGTAAATGGCAGCAGCGTGCAGTTAACAGCCACAACATCACGGAGCCCTCGGACGCTGTGGCCCTGGGACCAGAGCTCGAAGCGCCAAGGCTCTGCGTTCAGGAGCTGGATCCCTCAGCTCGCAGAAGCAGCCCCGCGAAAAGGGGATGTCCGAAATGAGAGGCAACCACTTTAGAAGGTTCTGAAATTTTCCAGGGATTTCCGAAGGAGGTTACAAATCGCTGCTGCATTTGAGCAGCAGCCTTTTCCGCAGCCTCTGGCCCTGCAGCGCTGAACTGAATAATACAGAACACACCCTTACATTTGAATTTGAGGTAAGCTCGAGGCTCCACCTCGGGAATGTAGTGGCAAGTAAGGTGGGCTCTCCCCTCCCTCCCCTCTCCTCCCCTCCCTCCCCTTTTTTTGCCCCTTATTCTAGCCCCGCCTCCCCTGCTCCTCGCTCCGCCCCTCATCCTCCAGTTCCAGCCGAGGTTACCATAGCTACGGTGCACACAGCCGCTCCGCGTACCTATTTGGACCCCTGCTGCCCGGAGGGGAGAGGAGGCACCATGAGCCAAACCGTGACCGTCGTGGAGCCCCAGGCCAAGCAGCAGGGGTCTCAAACCCGGTGCAAGGTGAATTCGGGGGCCAAGGGCCACGTCTCCTGCAGCCGAACGTATGATTACCTGTACGGTAAGGGTGCCCTAGACCTCCCTCCTGAGTTGTGGACGCGGTGGGTCCTGAGACGGTGGGACGGGCGAACAAAAGAGGAAAGACGAGCCTAAGGACAAACCCCTGGCCCGCGGTTGTCCTTTGTTGGGTGGGGGCAGCCCCGAGCCCTCCAGGGCTCCTCGGAAGCCGTCCGTGCGCTCTGCGTCCCCCAGCGCGGCGCGGCGCCGCCCTACTCTTCGCCATCCTCTCTTCCTGATAATTTGCACAGCCTTAAGCGATCATCCTGGGAGTTTTAGTATCAAGGAAAGTATGCAATGATTTGCAGGCTTGGAAAGTCTCTCAACAGCCCCGCATTCAAACTGCATAAAATGCCCAACAAGGACCTTTCCGTTGCCATTCTCTGGACACCTCCAAATCTGGCATTCTCGGTAAAGTGACAGTTTATCTCACCATAGTTTTTAGTTTTCTCTTTTTCTTTAAACTTATTCTTATCCAATAAAGTATTGCTTATACACTAGGTCCACGGAGTCCTTTTGGGCCACTAAAGCCCCAATTTATTGTAATGCCCTGATTATCCATTTACGTTCCGTCTCTTATACTGAACCTTAAGTCCCGTTGCGTTCTCTAAGTTCTTGTTCTAGACCAGTGGTTCTCAACCTTCCTAATGCCGCGACCCTATAATACAGTTCCTCATGTTGTGGTGACCTCCAATTTCATTGTTACAAATTGAACATAATTAAAGCATAGTGATTAATCACAAAACAATATGTAATTATATATGTGTTCTCCGATGGTCTTAGGCGACCCCTGTGAAAGGGTCGTTCGACCCCCAAAGGGGTCGCGACCCACAGGTTGAGAACCGCTGCTCTAGACATATTTGTAGTCAATTCAGTACCTATTCCAGTGCTGGTACATATGCTAGGTGCCTCATAAATGTTTATTAAATTATTGAATTTACTATTTTACAAAACTTATCATATTTAAGCATGACTTTTTCCAATTTTACCTCAGTAGTCCCAGGCTCTTCACCTGAACCTTGCATTACTTTTAACCATATCATATATCCTCTGGGGTTCCCAGGGTCTCCTTTGGATGGGAATCCTATAGAATATCCATTTCCTATACGATCTGTGTAATGAAACCTGCTCGTGATTTCATCTTGTAAAATAAATCTAGTAAACTCCTCTAAACACATCATCACTTTTGTATCAAAGGTAATTTGGAACTAGGGATAGACATCTTCCTTCAGCAAAGACAGACAAAGAATTTATTCAGCTCCGTCTTTCTTTTATCCCTAAAAGTAATTCCTTCTCCTACCCCCACCCCAGAGAGATTACTAAAAGTTTCCACGTCCACTCAGAATAGGTCAAATCAAACTTTGGATTGTTCTAATAAAGCAGGCAGCCTGACAGCTATTCATGGACAGAAAGCATAATATAGCCAGGGCAGGGGCATCAGAACTAAGGTGCCGAGGCCTCCTGCTCAGTATCTTAGATCTTATGGTCTTTCACCCTGGTAGGGTTAGCAGGTTTAGCAAATATAAGAGTGGACATTGCCCTGGATGGGCAGCTCAGTTGGTTGGAGCGTTGTCCAATACACCAACCAGTTGTGGTTCAATTCCCAGTCAGGGCACACACGTAGGTTGCTGATTCAATTCCTGGTCGGGGGTGTACATGAGGTAACCGATTGATGTTTCTCTACTCTCTCCCCCTTCCTTCCTCTCTCTCTAAAAAACCAATCAAAACATATCCTTAGGTGAAGAGAAAAAAAATAATATAGGACACACTGTTACATTTGAATTTGAGGCAAATAAAGTGTACTATTTTGGTTGACATTTTTAGTTCCATGCAATACTTGGGACATCCTATATAATAAGACCCTAATATGCAAATCAATCGAATGGCAGAACGTCTGGCAAGGATGTCCAGCGGAACGACTGGCCGCTATGATGCGCACTGACCACCAGGGGGCAGATGCTCAACACTGGAGCTGCCCCCTGGTGCTCAGCCAGAAACCAGGCTCTTGGCTGGCGAGTGCAGTGGCGGTGGCGATACCCTCTTCTGCCTCCATGGCAGCACTAAGGAGCAGCGAGCCAAGCAGTAAGGAGTAGCGAGCAGGTGGGCAGTAAGGAGTGAGGGGTCCCAGAATGTGACAGGGATCCCAGACTCTGAGAGGGATGGATGTTTGACTGCCGGCTTAGGCCCGATCCCCCTGGGATCAGCAGTCAGATATCCTCCGAGGGGTCCCGGACTGCGAGAGAGTGCAGGCTGGACTGAGCCTCCTTCCCTCCCCCCCGGCCCCCAAGTGCAGGAATTTCAAGCACTGGGCCTCTAGTCCTATAAATAAAAGAGAAACATGGTAATTAGCCGTACGTCCGCTACCCTTCCCATTGGCTAATCAGGGAGATATGCAAATTAACTGCCAGCCAAGATGGCGGCCAGCAGTCAGGCAGCTTGAAGCGAACATGAGGTTTGCTTGCTTCAGTGATGGAGGACTTCAACATTCCCCGCCTGCCTTGCCGGCCTCTGAGCTTGCAGTTTGAAACATTGTTACAAAT